CTTTTTCACATCCTCCTTTGCCTGCTCTGTGGCCTGGGCACATCCAGACAGAAGAATGATTATGCAGGAGAATTAGTAAAAAATAAATTAATTTTTAAAAAATCATTAAAATCGGTGATGGAGAACACCTTTGTCAACATTAGTTGCCATCGAGTCAGTTGTAACCACAGCATGAACCAGCCTTTAACTCACTGAGCCAAGAGATGACTGGGATGAATGTGGACTAAACAATTATCTTCCCCTATCAGATTCAGACTTTGCGCCACGGAAAGGGCACAGCCTTGCCCAGTGATAAGGGACTGCCCAAAGTGGGGAAGCTAATTCAGACCAAATCATTTTTAGATTATTCGAAGTAGGGTTGTCCTGATCACATTTTTTTTTGTGTCCGAATCTGAATCCAAGTTAATGGATTTTGAGCATCTGTTAATACCGTGTCCCAAACCAATACTTCTGCAATGCAATGAGGGAGAAAAGGAAGGCCACATACAAATTATCTCAATTCTCTAGATTTTTTTTGTTTTAAATAAAGATATCTAAACATACCTTTGAACATGGCTGTAAATCAGCAGTCATTCAAAATCATGTTAAGAACTAAAAATATTTCATTCTTGACTTTAGAAATTAAGAAAATTAAAAAATGCAATCTTTTTCAGCCAATACTGATTAGCCAAAAATCATGTGATCAGCCATGATTTCCAATCATGTCAATTGGGACAACCTTATTAAATTTTCAATTAAAATGCACCATCCACCCACCGTAAGGAATAGATGCTGATAGTGATGTCCTTATCAATTTTACGAATGATTAGTTAAAATGAGTTGCCAATTGCGAAAGTGCAGGAACAACGTTATGCTAGTTCACACACAAAACATTGCAGGAACATGTAAACAGTTTCATGGAGGCACACTAGTTAGTGGTACTAATTGAACATGCGACACACCTGCTTGTTGAACTGCATGATTCCCAGAGTGGGGAACACCCATGTGCTGGCTGGAGGGACAATCTCAGAGTCAGCAAAGCTCACCCATTGAAGGACCTGAGCCGAAGCTTGGGGTGTGGCACCACGAAGGACATCATTGCCCACTGTATTAGAGGGGGCAAAAGTGAAAAGGACATGACACCACTTATTTTCCCATTCTTCAGCCAATCGTTGCATTCAAATGTGAGCACAGAGAGAGCCAGTCTTTTTAACTTGCTGAGCCAGAGATAACTGGGAGGAATGTTGTTCCCCTGTCAGATAGAGACAACATGCCATGGCTGGGCACCGCCTTGCTCAAAGACAGGGGATGACACTTGTGAAGAGCCATTAAGAAATTGCACATACTATGTCTAATTGTACTGCAAGTCTATGATTGAATGTGTACACCATAATTGACAGTGCAATCTGAAGGGAGAGCTGTGTTGATGAAATGCCTTGATAATTTAGTTGTAAGGAAACAAGCACATTTAATTTGGGTGAACATGATATGTAGTTGTGCATGTTTAATGACCCTCAACAGACGGAGCATGGGGGGAAACACTTGTTGTTGCCAATAAAGCGCATGTACCAAGTTGTGCCATGAGTCTACGAATGCAGCTATGTAAATATGCATGCGGACAGTATGGTATTTGTTGAAGGTCTTCTGATCGTTTTATCTTAGTAATCGCATGTACTTTCAAAGATAAGTGTGAGTCTGCATAGTTATTAGGGCTACCACAAACTATCATTTCTAATCAAGAGTTTAATAGGCCTGTCACGATAAATTTTGTGCTAGGATTGCCATTGAGGGCTTTGTCCGAGTTCAATAATGCACGGTCGAGAAAGACCGTGAGGTAGCGTGTAAGCTCTGCTGTTTGATGTCAACCGGGGGCATATAAAAACTGTTTAATAAACTTGAGTTCACTGACTAATGCCTCCATAATTTATTCCAAATAGACAAAACAATGTAAGCATACCGCAGTAGGACATTGTGTCTTTAGATCAAACACAGATGGTAACCTGTGCGTGCTAATGCCAGCTAGCTTTTGGACAAGACTGTCCCCGTGTAACAATTTAAATGAACTATCGGGGAAAACTGGAAAATGAGGCAGTTAAGCAAGAAAACCAAAATGCCAAATAAATACACAAACGACTCGACAACTATTAAAATAATAGACAATTTAGATCATCAACGACGTGACTTGTCCTGGCAGCCCAACTAGTTATGCCCATTAGCAGACAGTCTTAAAACTCCCAGAAAATGTCTATACTATTGAGATGGAGCAGGAACATTTACAATTACAAAACAATAATGGAAACTGTGACAAGCCATATCTCCTTCAGTTGCCAAGAGTAGAGCAGAAGACAGGGGTATATGCCCGTTCTCGACCTTAACAGCAAAAAAAAAAAGCAAGAGCCTGTTTAATATCAACTAAGACACTACCTTGATAATGAAGTCATGGGGTTGTCCAGATCAGTGTTTTTCAAACTCTGTGCCGCGGCACACCAGACGCGGTGAAATATCCAATTTGTATGCCTGTGCGGTCTATCACCCAGAAAGTAATCATGTAGTACCTTGCCATACCGCTAGGGAGCAGCAATAGCTGCCAATTGCCTTGTGTTTCGACCACTAGAGACAAGCGAATTTGTGCCGCATGAATGCAGGACGACAGTGAAACAATAAATCTGAAAGATTATAAAATACTTTTTTCTTTGTGCTCATTTGATTCCAATTCAAGCCGTTATAATTCATTCTTCAATGTTAAAAACTGTTTTAGTAACAATTAATATAACACGTCAATTGTTAAAATAAGTGGGGTTTTTTTTCACATTTTCAGCTCGTGGTGTGCCGTGAGATTTTTTCAATGAAAGAAGTGTGCTTTGACTCAAAAAAGTTTGAAAAACACTGGTCCAGATAACATTTCACGATTTAGTATTTTAATTTCCTTTTCATTAAAATTGTATATAAATCTTCAAGTATGTTCACTTTTGAAGTGGTTATAGTTTTTATTTTTGAAATGAGTGTGGGCCATACAAACAGCAGCTCTAGTTCAAAGAAAAGAACATCAAGATACTCACAGTAATGTGCAATGGCGTTACTCTCAAACAAACAGAAACCGTCATCTCCCTGGTAGGCAGGTACCTACGAGCAATTGGTGAAAAGAACATTTCAAGAAAACAAAACCACTTTGGTTACATTCAAAATGGCCATGCGATTCGTCAAAACGGGTTTTGACCTGCACCACATGGAATCTATCAGGTTCCAGAGGATCACAACCAACCTTGCCCTGGGGAAAGTTGTTGAGGAAGGCAGGAGTGCGGTTCGTCTGCCCGAAGGTAAAGGCAGGGGCACTGCTGGCCACTTTGAGGGCAGCACCGCTGTACTGGGCAGCAATCTGAGCCTTGAAGGCCCTCCAGTTCTCTGGATACGTGTACAGAGTCTGGGAAGATGTGACATGAGAGACACATAATTGACCTTTTACAAGTAAACACAGCTGAAATCTCAACTGTAGGTCTTATTTTATTTATTTTTTTGATTTGCGAACCAGTTTGAACTTATTTGTATTTGCTCTGTATTGTGTCCCATTTAAGCAGTGTAACGTTGCGAGGGAGATTCCACGTCTATCCACACACGAAATCAAGCTCCACCATCACTTGCGTCAAACCATTTTACCGACCAGGTAGGGCCGGTACCCAATGACATATTTACAGCTGTACTTTGCGTGATATCAAAGGAAAACGCATGAATAAAGCCTGGCATTCTCGTGCCTTAAGGTGAGATCGGTACTAGCTAAGTATCAGACAAGATGGTTAGCGCCCTTAAAAACCCAATGCTAAACTACGGGTGGGCGTTTAAAAGTTGGATTTCAAACAAACAACATGAGCCTTTAGCGGAGAAATGGATAAAACTTGTTTTCTCGACAAAAAAACAGCTAACGTGGCACAAGATTGGGCCGGGAGTTAAGACGTCAGTAGCTGACTGCAACGTCAGTGTAGCGCAGAGCGAATATTCGCTTCAGTCGTACAGTGGTCGCTCAATTAATTTTCCATGGCAAATACACTTTGGTATCATGACGTAAGTAGCAGAGAAGGTAGCCGAGTATCAGTGGTGCCGTGACACAACTACGATTGCGAAGATTTAGGGCAGATTGTGAAGATGAATGCCACATGAATGAAAGCTCCGTAGCCACTCTCCATTTTACTCACCCCTGCCGCCATCTTCAGGACGAGAGAAAGAAAGAACGACGGCGCACCCTGATGACGTATTTACGCTACAAGACGTCCGCGTCGACGAGTTGTTTCACTTTCGAGAGCTGTAACTTGTTGACGCAAACAATTTAGCAACAAAATGAAGATGGAATTTTAAATACTTTTCACTTTCGAGAGCTGTAACTTGTTGACGCAAACAATTTAGCAACAAGATGAAGATGGAATTTTAAATACTTGACCGATATGAATTTACGAGGGTAAAGTTCTGATTGGAATTACCCTACATTCACGATTTCTTTGCTTAGTTTACGAGTATAATGCAAATAGCCTATACACATATTGACAAACGTAACCAGAATTAGTCTTCATTTTTCCATTTGAAGACATTTTGAATTAATATGCTTGAGGATGTACTGTTTCTGTTCCATAATTCTGTGAAGCAGTCCAAAACCATCCCTCCACAGACGAATTCTGAGATGATTTTGGTATGGACGAATTTCCACACGGTGGGATTATGAGGCACTTTTTGGACAAACTCTAACAGAGATTATGAGCCACCGGACACTCTCTCAGGTCTGTCCTCAATATCCCGGGCCTCACAAAAAATGCCGTACACAAATAAGAAGAAATCCTCAGGCACTCCAACATCAGAAGAGTCAGAATTACATTTTATAACGTTGAGTTGTGGCTTAACGATGCCCAGTCAAACTCACCATCTAAGTATTAAAGTGTAACATACAATAATTTATAGAGTACCGGTATATCATATTTGAAAAAAAAAAACAAAGTGGAATGTGCTCAGGGCATTATAGTGAAAACAAGATCCACACATAAAGCAAAATTGTTTTATTATGGCCTTTGGGTCATTTTACAAACTATGACTGTGGAAAAACAGATATACCTGAAAACTAAAAACGAAGTGACATAACAGTGATGACAGAAATAGAGGTTGCCAATAACATGAGTAAACCTTGTTAATTATATAAAACTAATACAAAATAAAAACTAAAAATAATTTCAATAAGCGGTTCATATGACCACTTAAAAAAACACTGAAAACTAAAAATAAAGTGACTCATCACAGTGATGACGGGAATAGATGTGGATTGCCAATAACATAAGACCATAGTTATCACATTTCTACAAAAAAAAAATAGCCTTAATCACCCCTTATAAAACAGAGTCAGAGAGTGCATTGAGACTACACAAATGTTGCCTCCTCCAACAGGTCAGCTCACAAGACCTAAAAAAAAGAAACAAGAAACTTGTTCACGTCCAATAATTGAAATATATGTAGTCCATATTCACTGTAATTTATGGATTCTATTAAAATCTGACACCGCCTGACAATGTGGAAAGACTCACCTAGATAGTCATCCATCAGAGATCCAATGGCAAACTGAAAAACAGGCATTTTTTTTCTTAGTGATTTTGTACAAACTTCCAGATAAAGCATGGCATGGTATACCCTGCAATCTTTCATAAATAAATAGTAATTATAATAATACGTACGATATCATTTTTGTCGACTCGTGTTCCTACAATCTTTAACCTGATCTCATCATCTTGCTGGATCACAATGTCCTTGAAAACAAACAAAAAGTGGATATAAATACAAATAGCTTGGATACTTGACTGAGAGATTCCTAAATTGAAAATAGACATGGTATAATTTGGGAGTGGTTATACCAAAACAAGTGGTTTTCTTTGACTCCTGAATTTATTTTCCCTTGACAAATGATATGCCCATCATGAAAATTAGAGAAAAATTTCACATGCAAGCACAAAATAGGATGAAAAAAAAATAAAGACAACTTCTCAACTAAACTGTATTTATAGAGCATTTTAAAACAGCCACGGCGATATACAAAGTGCTGTACATGGAGCAAAAATAATTCATACAACAACAAACAATAAAACAATAAATTAACAAACACAGTAGAAAGCACAACAAAAGTAAAACTCATGCTATGTCAATAGTCAAAGAATAAATATTTGTTTTAAGATGAGTTTTAAAAATCCGACGGTGAGGGGGCTTGCCGAACGTTCAGTGGGAGATCATTCCAAAGAGAGGGACCAGCAACGGAAAAGGCTTGATCCCCTCTGAGCCTTCGCTTAGTTCTTGGTACCTCTAATAGTGTCTGGTCCGCAGACCTGAGGCAGTGTGGCAGGGGCAGCATCGGGCAGGTGTGCAGGGGCGGAGGAGCTCAGAGAGGCAAGGTGGGGTGAGGCCATTTCAAGATTTGAAAATAAATAATAGGATCTTTAAAAGAACTCTAAAATGTATAGGGAGCCAGTGACGGGATGCCAGAGTTGGAGTTTCGTGCTCCCTCTTACGAGTACCAGTCAAGTATGCAGGGTACACCCTGAACTGGTTGCAAGCCAACCACAGGGCACAGATAGGCAAACAACCATTCAGACACAGTCAGTCAGTCACACCAAGGTACAATTTATAGTATTCATTAATCTGCCATGCATGTTTTTGGAATGTGAGAGGAAACAGGAGTACCTGGAGAAAACCCACACAGGCATGGGGAGGACATGACAAACGGAGGCCCAAGAAAATACTGAGGTCATCAGGGCAGATTGTTGACATTTCTGGAGTTCAGAATTGACCGATCACATGCAAACTCATGTTAAATGATAGTCAGCACACACCTGCCACCATTATAAGCGTAGGCGTAGTAGGCTATTCCTGACATATAGGGTTGTTTTGCTTTCTAGTACAACCCTGAAGGTTCTGTACTAACACTGACTGCTATTTCAATCTCTTCATAATTCCATCTACTTTATTGATGGTCTCAGTTCCCCCTGAAAAAAAGAGCACCGCGGAATGATGCTGCCACCACCATGCTTTTCTGTAAGTACGGTGTTCTTTTGGTGATGAGCATTGTTGTTTTTGCGCCAAACTACTTTTTGGAATTAAACCCCAAAAGTTCAAACTTGGTTTCGCTGTGTGTGCTGATTCCCATTTAGCATGCATTTGAATGTGATAGGTTAATTCGGAAAACAGCCACATCCAGGTGTGAGTGTGAGCACACTTTGGCAAGCAACCCCAGTACTTTGGTTGTTTTTTTAACACTCCCCCCCCCCTCAAAATTACCTACATAAATACATACATACGAACTGTTAAAAAAATGTCGCTGTTTCCTCGCACCACTGGGAATGTGAACAAAGTTTGGCCATATACCCGTGTTTTGACTTCATCACAAAACATACAACATATATTTTACCTCATCAACTGTCTTATAGCATGGTGGGTTAGAGTTTGGGTCAAACTCCATTTCTGAGGGGATGGACTGCAAAAAGAAACATCTGTTAAGAGTGGATGGGACAATGTTCGGTGGGCAGAAGGCGGCAAGTAGAAGTGAAAGCTGACTCACATGACGGGAGATGAAACATGACATGGGCCCAATTTCTGTGAACAAACCAACCTGCAAAACCAGAAAAAAAACACATTACACATGACTAAGAGAAGCTAAACCCGAGCATGTGACATGTACAAACAGCGTGCAAAACACCATGTCAACATTTTTTCAACAAACCAATTCATTAGAAAACATAAACCCCGAACACTACATATCCAGCTTTGTATAATGAGCATGAAGCACAGTTAATTGCAGAGGGATATGTTGTGACAACTTCCATCCATTTTCTTGCGCTTATCAGGGGTAGGGTTGCGGGAGTAGCGGCTTCAACAGAAAAGCCCAGGCATTCTTCTGTGGAGCCATTTTGTCCAGGTCTTCCGGAGGGATCCGAAGGCGTTTTCAGGCCATCAGGGAGACATAAGCTGCGGATCAAACGTTGCCGTGTGAACGGGGCTATTGTGTCTATAGCTTGTCCCGAGTCATCCCCGGGCCTCCTCCCAGTGGGATGTGCCCTGAACACCTCACGCCTCAGGGAGGCATCCAGGAGACATTCTGATCAGATGCATGAGCCACCTCATCAGGCTCCTCTCGATGCGGAAGAGCAGGGACTGTACTCAGAGCTCCTCCCAAATGACTGAGCTTCTCACGCTATGTCTAACGAAGAGCCACTTTTGTCCAGGATCTTGTTCTTTTGGTCACAACTCACAGCTTCTGACTGTCGTTGAGGGTGGGAAGGTAGATCTACAAGTAAATTCAGCGCTTCACCTCTCGGCTCAGCTTCTTCTTGACCACAACAAACCGACACAGAGTCTCCATCAGAGCAGATGCTACACTGCCTGCCAATCTATATCCTCCCCTCACTTGTGGACAAGAACCCAAGATACTTGAACTCCTCGACTTGGGGCAGGATCTCATGCCCTGGAAAGGGCATTGCAGCCCTTTCCGACTGAGGACCATGGTCTCAGATTTGGAGGTGCTGATTTTCATCCCAACCACTTTACGCTCTGCTTTGAATGTGCAATACTGAGGCCACCAAATAGGGCTCCCTCTCCCTCCCTCCCTCTCTCTCTGCCTTGGGTGCGCCTAGAAAATCAGTGACAAAGGGCCAACCTTCACTGGAAACAAATCCGACTTACTGCCAGCAACATGGACCAAAATGACACCGATCATAAGGTGCATGAACAGCCCGTATGAGAGGGTTCGATACCCCATACTAGGCAAGGCACAAGGTTGAACGCCTTCTCCAAGGGTGTGAAGATGGTCCACTGTTCTACGGACAGGACGATGGCAACAACAAATGTTACACTTTAATGTATGATGCCGGTGAACTTTTGTATCCATTTAATATTCCCACTTTCACACTTCTTCCATCTGGCAGCTGCTACAAGAGTCGCAACAAAACAACAAGACTAAAAAACAGCAACTACCCTCATGCCATCAAATTCCTGAACAAATAACATCACAATCTAGAGCTGTCAACCACACTGTAATAATTTTTGTATGTGGTTCACTTTTGGATGTTAACACTGTGCAACACCTTTGCACCCTTATATTCACATTTTTGCACTACCGACCACCACTGAACTCACATACAGTGCCCTTTTTAAATGGTCTTTTCTTAAATTTGTTATTCATCTTGCATTATTTGTAATTGTGTTTGTCTTTTGTATTTTTTGCATCGGTGGAAGGAGACTAGCAAATTAAGAATTTCATAGCCCGCTGTTACCATTGTGTTTTTACTGTGCACATGCTCAACAAACATCTTGAATCTTACCTTGTTAACCTGAGTCACAACAGCATCCACAACCTCCCCTTTAAATGGCCGGAACACAATTGCCTTGTACTTGACTGGATACAGAACAAAACCTCTGCCGGGCTGGATCACTCCTGCCCCGATGTTGTCTATGGTAGTGACTGCGATGACAAAACCATACCTGAAAGAAAAGTATCAGTAAAGGGTCCTTTATTAGTGTAGAGGCATTATTATGGAGCTGAAGCAGTTCATATTCAATTGTCTTGCGACTGTCTGACTGGAGACAAGTACGTCCAAGTATGTTATGCAAAGCACTGATTGCTGCTATCGTGAAGCAATGAATGCAAAATAAGAGTGACAAAGATTTCAAATAAAAGGTGCTAAATTGCGTGTTTGTGCTTACAGAATGACCGTGCTGTTGATGGACGTGTTGCATGTGATCAACTGAAGGGTTACGTGTGCAAAAATGGGCACAAAGTCGATTGTGCATGAAAACTAGTACAGAGGCTAACTAGATATAAATGCGTCATCTGCAAAACATTTCAAAAAGTTACTTTTTCGAATATTGGGAGAGGTATACGATGCGCAATGTGATTCATCAAACTTGAGACGAATTGCGTTGGATGAGTTTGTGTCTTAAAATAGCACATCTGAAGGGCAGGTGCAAACCAGGAGCAAAGTGGTGCTTGAGCAGTGCAAGCCAAGCGAGAAGCAACAGGGAGGAGTTTTTTTATTTTTAGCTCATGTAAACATTTTGGAAATTCTAACAAAAGGTTATGTGACATTGACTAGGAAGCAATGCAATTTTGGAACTTCCTTCGAGCCAGTCATGTCATGTTGTTGCCATATCAACAATGAAAACTCCACTCAACTCAGACTTTCTGCACGTCTGGGTCATTCTAGCGAATGGTGACAATTGGTCCTTGAATCTTTTTTTCGGGTATGCTGCTCCGAATTTTAAACGATACTTTGCAGGGTGGGCACACACTTGACAATTGCTACACACCTAGGATGAGTTATAGCAAACAATGTTTTTTTTTTCCCCAAGATGGCGCCCGAATAGGCAGTTGTCGGCAAGTGCTCTTCAAGAGCCATGCGTTTTTTTTTTGTTGTTTTTGTCTTTGTTTTGTCACATGGTGTTGTTGTTACATCGTGTGGACCTGATGTGGACTGTTTTCAGCATTTTTGGCCACGACATTTGTCAAAGAAGAATCTATGCTTGGTGGTTGCGCCTTCTCGGCAGCACACGCGTACCAGCACTGATTTTTTTTTATTGGGAGGAATGTCAGCGCCATTTGACTGTCGTTGCTGGACATTCCCGGGGCGCTTGTGTCTTGCGCCTGAAGTAGGCAGCATTTTCACAGCCCCGCTTTGTTCAGCGAAAAGGTCGGTGCTGATGGACAGTCTGTGGCTGGATGGATGCATGGATTGAGGAGCCGACGATGAGAAGAAAGGAGCGTCAGCGCAGAGCGCCGATGCGTATGTGGAACTGGGAGTCGCGGCTTGGAATTGAAGCGGATTTACATGGGACAGGAGAAGAGAGCCAATCTCTCTTTTTCGCTAATGGATGCTACAGCTTCCTGTTGCTTTCAAGCTTAGCTTGTAGCAGATGTGTGCACATTGCAGCATGATGTCTTTGATCCACTGGTGAAAAGGACACTTTGATTTGCTCCTCTTTCATCTATAACTGCTTCAGACAACAAGTGTATGCAGGAAAGTGGTTAAGATTGCACGATTGTGTCTCATGTTTTGTCATATTATTTTGTCATTTTTTTGTTAACTTTTCTTTTGATGGCGGCGCCCCGCAGCGGCTCCTCTTGTTTTATGTTGAGAGGGAAGAAATTTCATCTGTGCACATTTGACAATAAGGTTGTATTCAATTCAATTCAAAATACGGCTTTTATATTGTTTCTGGCTTCCCCGAAATTATTGGCGCGATTAATGTTTTTTTCTATGAGTCAGTAATATATTTGTTTTGCTTTCATGAGGGTAGTGGGTGAGGAGCCTAACCCAGACAACTTTGGGGAAGATTGTTTTTCCTGCATGTGCTCTATGATTGACAGGCGACCAGCCCAGAATGGTCGCCAGCCAATCACATTCTTAATTTGCATGGACAATTCAGTAAAGATTTCAGTTAACATAACGTGTTTTTGAAACGTGAGAGGAAGTTAGCGTACCCGGAGAATACCCAAACAAGCACATGCAAACGCCACAAACTAATGCAGAGCAAAGAGTTGAAAGCCAAACGCCAGTTCTTTGAGGAAGACATGATAACCACTAGTCCACAGTGCTGTCATTTTTAAATTCATATTTCTATAAAGGTATTCATATTTTTATTTTAAAGAATGAAAATGTTTTTTTAAATTTTGGGTAGCACAGTAGACAATTGGTTAGCATGTTTTTCTCAAAGATTTAAGGTATGGAGTTCAACTTTCGGTTCGGGTCTTTCTGTGTGCAGTTTGTATTTTATCATTGTGCTTACATGGGTTGGGTTTTCTCCACTTTCAAAAAACATGTTTCTTAGTTGATAAACTGAGGTGGGGGTGACTCTGTGATCACCTGTAAACCAGTCCAGGGTGAACTGACCTCTCCCTTTAAGTCACAGGTGTCAAACTCAAGGCCTGGGAGCCAGATCTCGCCCACCACCGAATTTTATGTGCCCCGTGAAAGCAAATCATGTATGTCAACTTCCATGATCCTTGCTAAAATCTGTATCGAAATGTCAAATTGTTAGGAGTAATAACTAACATTGATATCTTGTGATAATTTTGTTAGCCTGTTTACACTTACTTGAACAAACTACTGTATATAGTTGACTTGAGTGATTTCAAAACTAGTAAGCCACCAATTTGTTGTGTATAAGTAATGATACAATGAGAGGATTAAACGTTTATTTGGTTTCACTTTCATAACGGCCCTCCGAGGGAAAACTTAACTTTAAAGTGGCCCGCGACAAAAAATGAATTTGACACCCCTCAACTCAACGGTATTCATAGAGAACTTTAAAACAACCATCGCTGGATACAAAGTGCTGTACATGGAGCAAATATCATATATACAACAACAAAACAATAACAAAGACAGTAGAAAACACAAAAACTGTAAAACCAAGGTCAAGTCTCAGTAGTCATGCCGAGTCAAATGCCAAAGAATACAAATAAGGTTTGACATGAGTTTTAAAGATGGGCAGCAATACTGCGCTAAGTTATGCAGTATAGGCTCCAGCTCCCCCACAACCACTGTGACGATAAGCAGTGCGGTGTGTATGTGTGCACATACATACATACATACATACATACATACATACATAATATATATATATATAAACTAATTTACCCACAAATAGCAAAGGAAATTAATCAAATACCCATCCCTATTCAAAATGTAGTTTTCTTCCTGTTTGTACTACCACTGACTTATGGAATTGCACCCAAAACATGAATGCTGAGTTGGTAAAGGTAACATTTTGTTTAAGAACGTTGTGCAGTTTTCTGTCGTGAAGAACTGCACAGCGTCTAAATGATATGAGGGACACATGAGGGTGTGTGTGTGTGTGTGTGTTGGGGGTCCTGTTAACCTTTTTGCACCGCAAAATTCAAACGCGCAGGACCCATATTAGGCCCCAGCGTCCCAACGTGGTCTGTCCCTTTTTACATGTTTAATACACGAAAAACACTTACTTTCCGGTACAAGTGCCCTCCACTTCGGTAAAAAGCTTCTGCTTCACGGTATTTAAGAGATTGGGACCAAAATACCTGGGGTGAAGTAAAATTTCATGTTCCAAAGATATCTGTAAACATAAAAGGGCAGCATGAATATGAGTCAAATTTGACTTTGGCTTGCTGTAGAGCACTTTGTCACTAAAATTCAAAATAATGCGGATTCACTTGATTTTTCGTACTCGGAGCTATGGAGCACAAAGGGCACCCATTATGAGTCATTAAAACTGCCAAAATACCGTGAAGAGAATAAGACCCACACTTACATGGTAAAACATTTCTTCCTTTTTGTGTTCAATCTGTTCTCGATTAACGTATTTTAGTTGCATAAATGGCCTAAGATGGTTTACCCTGTCGCTTGGAAAAGTATACAATACCCGTCACTATGTTTTAACAACCGTCGACTATGAGGGGGTTCGTTTTTCCTTCCCCCCGCATTTTGCCTTTCAGGTGGTAAAATGTCTCAGAATAAACTCGTTTACTGTAACAACAGATCAAGCAAAAAAAAAAAATAATAAGAAATAACAATTTTGTATCCGACCAAAATAAAAATTAGACATTTTTTCTGCAGTGCGTTTAGGGCCACAAATATGATATTTTTGATCAATTGTACTACATGTTAAAACTGAAAGTATAGATTTGATTGACCCCTAGCGGTCGGAAGACCAAAATGACCCGGAAATACATAGTTCTGAAATGCAAACAGTCACAGCTGTCGCAAAATATCAACGACGACCGTTAAGCAACAGAGAAAGACGTAAATTCAGTCTACGTTTTTTTCCTATTTACCAACAGAGCACCGTTTTCCCATAAAACATTAGAATTACAAATTGGGCACACAAGCAAAATAACGAACAACCAAACAAACAACTATGCTGTCTAATATAAAACAAAACAAAAAAGACAAGGAAAGAAAGATAGTGAGAAAAAAAGAGGTTTAGAAAAGTCTATTCAGAAAATGAAACATCATATATTATAACGTCCTGTTTTGTTTTAAGTATCATCGATGTCCCTGATACTTTTATTAGTTGAGGGCTTCGTTGTTTTTTGTGGATAGCGCTACTTTACGAACGGCAAAAGGAGAGATGGAATCCTTTGAATGCAGTTTTATTAAGACATCTGCACCGCAGCAAGTTCGAGAGCACAACCCAATTTTTTAAATATATTATTTTAACAGATTCTTCCTTTTCATAGACAATAAAACATTTTTGATGCGAGGCTAAGGATTTCTTAATACATTTCTAATCTACCAAATTAACTTCATCTATAACGATTGAAATAATCGTATATATTCTTGTTTGATAAAGCAACATTCCTTTTACCATGCTTAACATAGCTTGGGGTATTGCTCGAATTACTCTTATTTTATAATCCTTTGTTCTGGTCACACCGAAATAATTCACCTCATCGTGTATTGGTGTTCCATAAAAATTTATTAGATGATGATCATGTTTCAACATCAACTCAGTATAATCCAGATTCTTTAGAAAACGCACCTATTTTATTCATTGCCAATGGAATATTTTCTGCTCGTGAGAAATATTATAATATCATTAACTATTTGCATTATTTTCAGATGATTACACCATACAATTAAAGGCTCAATATCAGGACTAATATTCAGAAAAATATCTAACAGCTCTGATTCCGAAATAAATAATAAAGGAGAGCATGGACATCCTTGTCTTACCTCAAAATCCACTATTAATTTCAAGTAATGGAAAAAAATGTTCTATCACATCAAGTATTTTTAATGTAATTGCAGGTGAAATAATCGCGAATTATATAACATAGGGCGAGCCTCCCCTACAGGAAGCTGCCATGTTTCGCCGCCTCGAAGGAGGGAAATTGAGCGAAGGTAGTTCCAAAATATAATGACGATGGCATGTGTAACAAATGGCATGCATTACCCCGACACTTTAGGGAATACTACAGGGTGTCCCTTGAGTCTCCATACAGAGGGGAAATAGTACATTCCATACATGTATGGTTCTAACGATTATTTCTTTATAATTCAGATAACTCAGAGAATGTATTTGAATAAAGAGCAACCAATTGAAATCATCCGTAAAGAGCATATTATATAAATAAAATGTCAAGAAACGTTTATTTTTCCAATGTATGCAGACTTATGGGACACCATATTTGTAGAGGGGTTTTGGGATGACATTTCGTTTCAGCTTTGCTGAAGAATAAGTCGTCGGCTTGCTATGTGTGGGCACTCCGGGCACCGTCGTGCGCGTGCTTCAAAATACACGCGCTTCGAACTTAGGTCGTTGCATTTTATTCGTGCACAGTAGGTACCACCAAGTTCACCACTGGATGGCACAGATTCTGCACATTGTACCTCAAATAAATACATTGCAAAACATGAAAATGATGCACGGCTAGACCGACCTCCCACCCCCTACCAAAAAAATCCTTCATGAAGGGAAGTACAGAACAGTAAACCATTTACATGAAATTAACATACTGGAAAATTGTGTACAACACAGAGAAGAAAAAAAAACAATGTTTCACGCACATTTAAATAAAGTAAACGTTTAGACCGCCCTTATGTTTTTCATAGACCGCCCCTTTGTGTGACAAGGAAGTGTGAAACGGCAGGCGTACCCATAACACGGCACTGCGATTGGGTAGATTGACTCTTGAAAAAAATTGAAAACAAGTTATGGAATGACAGGGATATTGCATCGATCTTCACTGATAAATCAATATTTATATACTGAAATTATCGAGTAGCGATAGACTGGAAAGTTGCTTTCGAAAACGTAGCTGTCTTTGTCAACCCTCCTTCTTCTATTTGATACGTAGAAATAAAAACGGGATCTCATGGCTAGTATGTTTGTCCGGAGGGTCTTTCTGGTTGCCACTCACATTGTAAGTTGTGAGTCAAATGATTCGCTCTACGTTTAATATTTCCGTGTTATCTTGTAACCGTACTTGATTGCGTCCAGAAATCTTCGCGGTTGGCCTGTCTGATGAAGAGCAAACGAGTGCCGGAGACTGCCGCCGGGGCAAGACCTTTCTCCAGTGATCCTCCGGAAAGAATCAGCCGCTATCCAATTCCTTACAAGAAAGACTTGCCATACGACATCGTGGAACTTATGGAGGAAGTAGAGTCCAAGGTAGATAAAAAGCGCCTCGCGTTATAATTGCAATATAATGACTATAACGCATTTGTTTATAGGGAGGTTTCTTACCAAACGTCTTCAAAGTCCTCTCTCACAGACCCGCAGAGTTTCGAGCCTTCTTCTCTTACTACAATGAACTCATGAGCAAGGAGACAGGTGTGTTTACTTCTCTTTCTTGTGTTAAAGAACATGCAGGACACTGAATATATAGTACAGTATATGGCGGTATGGCATGCTTTGGACACACGCAAAATTGTCTTTGTCTTGTACACAAATAATTTACTAACTTAATAAACTTATATACTGTACAAACCTTTCTGTGGGCAACAAATATATATATGAACCATTCATCTATGATCGGAACCACTTTATCCTTACGAGGGTCGCGGGGGTGCTAAAGCCTATCACAGTTGTCTTTGGGAAGTAGTCTTGGTACACTCTGAAGTGGTTGCTAGCCAATCGCAGGGCGCACGTAGACAAACAAAGATTCGCACTCACAATCGCACCTAGGGACAATTTACAGTGTTCAATGAACCTACCATGCTATATCATCAAAACCATGACCTCTGCACCGTGAGACAGACGCGCTAACCAGTAGTCCACCATGCTGTCCCGAATATATACCCAAAACTCAATATTAATTACAATGTACCCAATCAGAAAGGGGAAAATAAAGTATTTTGACCTTCTATATCTCTGAATTACAACCTGATGATTCTCATGTAATAACATTTTGTATTGATCAGTATTCAAATGAGATTCTTTTGGCTTCCAGGTGGACTAACCAAGGCAGATCGTGAGCTAATTGTGGTGGCCACCAGCATCCATAATAAGTGTCTTTACTGTGTGGTTTCCCACAGTGCACTTCACCGCATCTACTCAAAGAACACTACCCTCTCAGACCAGGTAGCACCTGTGACAAACCGATTATTTTCTATTGTTTATGCTAATTGACATTTAAGTTTTTAAGTCGCATCCATTTTTATATTACGTTTCACAAAAACAGACAATTGAATAAACTGCACTATCTATGGGGCAGAGTCAGAGACGGTGCTGTACATACTTCTCTTTTCAGCTCTGTCAAAATTTGTTTCTTTTAGGATGTGTTAGAAGCAGGAATATAATTATCCATTTCATTGTCACTGTCATTGTACATATTTACGCATTTTATTTTACATTATTATATGGCATGTTTCACTCAAAAATTAGTTTGCCGCTGGTGTTAGCTCGCATGAGAATATCTTCATGAGCTCCTTCTGACTTCTCCCCGAGGTGGTGGTCAACTATGAGAATGCAGAGCTCCAACCACGAGAACGAGCCATGTTGGACTTTGCCATGGCCGTGTGCCGCGCAGACACCATCACTGAGCAGCACTTCAAGTCCTTAGAGGAAGTGGGCTTTGACACCGAGGACGCCTGGGATATCGCTGCCATCGCGGCCTTCTTCGCCATGTCTAACCGACTCGCCCACCTCACTGACATGCGGCCAAACAAGGAGTTTTACAACATGGGCCGCATACCGCGGGACAAGAGCAAAGATAAATAGGGCAGCAATTGATTTACCAGACAAGTTTAATTTAGGGTAAAATATTATGATTTACTCACTTAAATGTAAATCAGTCAAGGCTATGATCCATACTTGTCATACAGTCGTGAAATTATCACTTTTGGCTGTCATTGTTTGGGATGAAAAAATATTAAATGTTTTGTGTATTATTTATGTAGTTATGCAGACAGTCTGTAGTTCTCTTTCTTGTTTGGTATGATGTGTCACATTGATAACAAAGGTTTGAGCAAACATTTGAAATGTGTAGATATGCATTTTTTTTAAACAGAAAGATTTTTTTCCAGGGAACTGTGCTGTTCATGGGCGGCCCAGTAGTCGAGTGGTTCGCTCGTCCACTTCACAGTGCAGAGGTACCAGGTTCAATTCCAGCTCCAGCCTTCCTGTGTGGACTTTGCATGTTCTCCGCGTGCTCGCATGGGTTTTCTCCGGGTCCTCCAGTTTCCTCCCACATTCCAAAAACATGCATGGCTCGCTGATTGAACACCCCAAATTGTCTCAGTGTGAGTGTGAGCGCGAATGGTTGTTCGTTTCTGTGTGCCCTGCGATTGGCTGGCAACCGGTTCAGGGTGTCCCCCGCCTAGCCCGAAGACAGCTGGAATGGGCTCCAGCACCCCCCGTGACCCTAGTGAGGATAAAGCGGTTTGGAAAATGAATGAATGTGCTGTTCATAAACTACAGATGTGTCCTTGTCACTGTTCTGTACAGTATGTAGTTTCTTTCATCAACACTAGATGACACCAGAACGCCACATTATTGGAGTGATAAACATTTTAAAGCGCAAAAACTATTCCAAGACATTGTATTTCCACTAAAGATGCACAGTAGCAACTCTTACGTACTTTTGTTTTCTCTTCAAAATGGCAATTAAAAAATGTATATAAAAATACATGATATGAAATCCCACTCCACCTCTGTGACAGAATTTCCTGTATTTGAAACATAGATTCTTTCAAACATGAAACCATGTTTATTGGTATGAAGTGTGTAGAATTGCCCACTTTACACAATACATCACTATCTGCTGAGAGTGTACTTAAGGAATCTGTCAAAAATTGAACAGGAAGAAGTAGGTTGTTTCACTTCATGCATCTCAATGGGATTGATCACATGAAGACAAGAGGAACAGCTTTCTGATGGAAGCGTTCATCCATTCCCTGCTGTAGCCTTGTACACTGATGGATGAGTCCATACAACTTTATCTTTGCATTAAACTATAAGGGAATATTGCATATGAGTAGTTAATTGTCCCGTGGCTCATCTAACCTGACATCAAAACAAGTCCAATTTGGGGCTTGATAAAGAAGAGGATAAAGTGGCTTATTGTAGTTGAGACTGTGGGTAAAAGGTGAGTGAACAAACACGAATGTTCATAGGTTCTGTCATTTTAGGTTGCAAAGGGGTTAATATCCTGTTGATGTAAGGTCACTATAAATTTCATTAAAATACGATCCCAAATAATGTACTTGCTATGTTATGAAGTTGTCATCAGAAATATTCTGGAAACTGTACTATGAATTTTTCGGGCATCATTATTTCATCAAATGTTCTTCAGATTCAGATTCAGAAAACTTTATTCATCCCCATGGGGTAATTGGACTTAACAGGCACGCTTTGCACAAGAAACATGAAAAACAAAGACGAACATGGGATACAGTGCGAAGGGCCTGTCGGTAATCGCCGTAAGTACAGCGCCCCGAGATCTTAGATGAGAAAAGTAAACACTAGGGAAGGAGGGGATAAAAAAAACCATGCTCGAACTATCCTCTTCTGAGGATAATTTAAGTCTAGGAGAAAAAAATTCCCTGCACATCAAGTTCTTGTCAAATTGTTTTCCAGAAGGATCAAAAATGACTCAGTGGCTTGCAGAAACATGTTGGGTTACATTACAACTGATATTTTGAATTCAAAGACTAGGAAAACTACAATTCGTACTCATGATCATCGATGGATTACTGCTGGATCCCTCCACAGAAACACGGTGACTCTTCCACAAGCACTTGTTTCAGATTAGAGGGTTCCGGATTGATAATCCAAATGCACATTCACTCAGATTACTTCATCCCTGTGGATTACGGGTCATGTGCCTTCTCATATTTGCTCAGAGAGAACGATTTAAGGTTTTACTATTTTTTTCCTTGTTTGTCCATGGGTGTGTTCTATTTGTGTCTTGTTTTGTATGTCCCGCCCCCCGCCTTCGTAATGATTTCCTGTGGCCTGATTTGCAGTGTCTCTCAGCACACTGGGGCAGATGGCATTGATATTAGACAAGGTTGTTTTTACACTGTGATATTGTTAAAGATTTGGCATCATTGCAGACAATCTCGACACAGTCACATCACATTAGTTTGATATGGAAATTGAGTGGATGACTCAAGACAATCTCAAAAGTTTCTTTGCCCTTGAAGACTGGCAAGATCACTTTTTGGCAGACTCAGATGTTTTGCTCATTTTGCTTGGGTGTGCCATGAATATGAATACCATTTCACTCCCTCTTGCTGCTTGTGTCTCTGAAAATACTTGTTCCAGCTTATATCTGAGCCCAGCAAATTGATGACAGGTGGATATTGTATTGCCTCTTTTGCACTTCCTGATGTTTACTCATTTTGATATGGCTCGATATGCTTTGTTGGTACTTTTTCACTGGAAAAAGCAGATACTTTCAGGTACTATCGGGTGCTATTTAAAACAAGTGTATTTCTGCCCTCTTGGATGATATTTGTCTCCTTGTCAGTCGACCCCCCCCCCACCCCCATTCTTATTGTATCTGTTTGTTGTCTCGATTTGACTGAAGTATTCAGTGTATGGTTTTAGCAGTTTACCACTGTATATGATTTTGAGGTATAAAACTGATGCAAACAGAGCTGTGCTCAGCCAAGGCAATACTGTGCAGTGAAAAAGTCTAGCCAACCTCACCGGTGTTCTTTCATTTGGTGATGCATCATATTAGCATTCAAGTTGTCCTGCTATACTGAAAGAAACAGTAAATTCCGACAGCAGTCAATGTGCCATGATGGTATTAATCAAATAGGCCTTTCAGCTTATTGACATATTGCAATGTAGGACACAAGAAAGCCCAATTACAATTCAACGATTTTGAAAGATTGTGCTGGTTAAAGCACATCCACAAATTTCTCCTGAAACGGTGCCAAGTGGTGTGGTTGATGATTTGAAGTGACCGTAGATAGTGACCTTACACTGGATGAATATTTACAGCATCTTACAATTAATGGTACATTAAAATTTAAACATAAAAAAAAAAACCCGCAACATACTGCTGTATTTACAGAAATTCACTACGGTGTAGAAAGTAATAGTTTCACTTTACACTGGCGTCCCAAAATAAGTTCCTATTAATGTGCCCTTAATAACTGGCGAACCCCTAAACTTTGGTTAACCAACCTGTGTTCATGCAACATTGTTCTTGCTTCCTTATAGTGACATCATCAATTAAAGGGGCCTCTAAAACGACACATTCTGAATGCATAAAAAATGTATATGCAGCACATGATAGCACATGAAGTGCAAAATGTGAGGACTCCTAATTACAAGGCTATTATATACTTATCTATAATTCAAGTTAATGGCTCTTCAAAGCACATACTGTTCTTTAAGAGGGGTGCATGACATATGATTTAATGACCTTCCATTTGTGTATCCCACTCAAGCATAGCCATGAGACCGAACCTCAATGCAACAGTCTGGAAATCTTAGAGTTATAAATGATGACACAACAAATACAACTAACTGAATTCAAAGTTTAGCAATTAAATTAACAGACCCACCCCGTAAAACAGCAACAACAACAACAACAACAAAATGGTAGGGCAATAATCAACAGAGGACAACTACTAAAGTGAGAGACTGTTTAACCTTGAGGACCTGATAGGTGTCTTGGAAACATGCAGGGTAAGGAGAGGCAAGGTGCAGCTTCCAGCAGTTTTGCTTCTCAACTCCAAACGCTCCCCTCCTGAAGTGAATGGAATAAGCGGAAGATTGCATGGGACTGGCAAAGTGCTTTTTCTCAAGAGCACTTTGAAACAGTAATTCATGCCTTTGTCACATCTCGGCTGGATTACTGTAATGCACTTTACTTTGCAGTCAGTCAATCCTCCTCCATTAAGCATCTCCAGTTGGTCCAGAATTCTGCTGCTCGCCTCTTGACTGGTACTGATAAGAGGGAGCATATAATCCCTACTCTGGCATCCCTTCACTGGCTCTCTATACATTTTAGTGTTCTTTTTAAGAGCTTATTATTTGTTTTCAAATCTTTAAAGGTCAACTGTGAAGTAATTTTAGGAAATCCCAAATGAAATATTTGTCACGAGTAAAGTAATTAAACAAAATACATTGAATAAAGCATGAAAAAATAATTTATATTTCTTATAGTCGACAAGGTAATCATTTTACTCAAAGTGAGATCTTGATGAGTGACAAACCCGATGTGTGATGTCACTTGAAGACAGCATTAACGGGGCTCTCAATGGAAAGTGTACAAAACCAGCCAGAAATTGATTCGGAAAGCTACGTTTTAAATGTATTTGAGGAGATCCAGGTGTTTGAAGAGTTGGAGGAAGAGGAGGTTGTTTGCAAGATTATATTGGACCATACACTGCTCTCCTTTATGTTTCAAGAGCATTACATTGTTTGAAGTAATGATATCAGAGGTCAATGCCATAATGGAAGGTCGTGGTTTTGACTTTGCCCCATTGCTCCTCAATCCATGGCTGAGATTTTGAATGCAAATGAACAAGCAAGCAACCCAACAAGCAAAAACTGTAATGTTCTTCAGCGAGTTTCTTAGATAATCAAAACAATCCTATACCTAACAGTGTATGTGGCGGGTCTATTCTATTACACTGTAGTTGTGTTGCTCAAGAATTATGATTGAAGCTTCAATGCCTCCTAAAGCGCCAGCTTTGTTTTGTAAGCTTTTAACCCCATGACGTTGACATCAGCTTCACACTGAGCTCAGCCGTCTGACCATTTGACACACAATCTGCTATCACGCACACCCCACGCTGTGCGCAGTCTGCACGACAGTGTTTTTGTCCACCGAAACTGTTTATGGGGGGGGCGTCTCACGGCCGCAGCCTCCCTTTCCCGCCATTGCACCCTAGCATGCTGTCACACCACACAATGCCCTGTTTCACGACTGGCACGCAAAACAAACAAGAACACAAGTCAACAACATATGCAGTTCAGTCACTTCAAGGTGCGAGCAGCAGAGAAAACGCCTCCTCTCAGGGAGCTTGCAATGTTCATGACATTGAGGGATACCCATCTGTAAGAATTGTTCTTCCAAGAGATGTGTGCACGGTTTTAAAGCTTCATCCATTTTCTCAGTGCCGATCTATTATCATGTCTAGTGTAATGGCCCTGGAGGCTAGTATTTAATTATCAGTTTTTGAGTAATTAGAAGGTGATAAAAGGCCATGTTTCTTATGACAAATGAGCTCAGCTTCACAGCAATAATTGATTAAACTGCAGATTATCAGAACATACTCACATGTGATACATATGTTTTTTGTTTGCATATTTTTACAATTTCTGAAATGATTCATCTTCACAAATAATAGTGTCACACTTGCGGCATTCGCTGGTGCTTTGTTAATATTTCATAAAGTTAATGGTGTGCATGGTGCATGGTGCCATTATCGAGTGGCCCAACGACCGGCCAAATCGTTGTAAATGGGAAATCAGCACTTTACATTACAAGGAGAGATAATGGTGCATTTGCACATGTTCAAAAGCATTACAAACAAAATCTAGTGAATATTTCACATGCTGCATAATGTGTCGTGTAAGGCCTACACTATGTACTGTAATTATATCAAAGATCCACAGTCCTATTCATTCAATAGGATACAGAAATTGTTGGAACAATCAGAACAAACATCTGCAGCACCGTTAATCTACTGTAAAGTCTTGTTAATATGTAATCCTAAAGTCAAACTGTCCACGTGACTGCAATCTGTTCTAAAATAATGGGGTAGGAGAAAAAAATTGACGTATTATTGATATGCTACAACTGTATTTATAACTACTGTAATTGATTTCGGGAATAACTGTGTCAAACAATTCTTTGGCTGTGTTACAGTATGTGCAACACTGAATTCTACATATACTAGGCAACTTTAAATATGGTTCATATAAGCAGACAAACTGCACTGAATATGGCATATGAATGCGTAATGCTGATTCCGAGCTGGCCCAAATGAAAAGCTTTATCTAAAGGAATAATTATTCGGCAAGACTGTCTGCCTTGCCGACCTAAAATGAACCCAGATTGCTCTGAAAGAGAGGGCAGTCCTCCCCCGGGGACAGTAGGCCAGTATATAAGAAATGTTCATTTCCAGAAAATTAAAAAATATTCCAGAATCACAGTCTACCCCCTGTAGTGTATTAGCAACTTTTGAAGAAGTTGTTGGAATGGGCGGGTAATAAATTTCTAAATTGGGAGCCAGGCTTTCACTCTTCTGGGAAGATTTTCAAAAAGAGATTGCAGAGTGCCTATGTGAAAGTTTTATCTTCTTTAAAAAGAGCGCGTGTGAGGTTGGGCGGCACGTCAGTTGACTGGTTAACACGTCTTCCTCACAGTGCAGAGGTGGAGGATTTGATTCCAGCTCCGGCCTTCCTGTGTGAAGTTTGCATGTTATCCCCGTGCCTGCGTGGGTTTTCTCCAGGCACTCCAGTTTCCTCCCACATTCCAAAAAACATGCTTGGTGACTGAAAGCTCGAGATTGCCCTGAAGTGTGATTGTGAGTGCGAATGGTTGTTTGTCTCTGTGTGTCTTGTGATTGGCTGGCAACGAGTTCAAGGTGTGCCCCGTCTGCTGCCCAAAGACGGTTGGGATAGGCTCTAGCACGCCAGTGACCCTTGTGTGGATAAGCAACTCAGATAATGGATGGATGTGTGAAGTCAGAGGTCACTGATGTGAGAGACTCAACATCTCTCAACATCAACGTTTTTCCACATGCACTAAAAACGTCATGCTTCGTTGTCTTTGTCCCCCCCCCACACACACACAAGTTGGAAGCATGGAGTTCTCCAAAATGTCATGAAAAGATGAATAATTTAAATGTACTGGGAAGAAAGGCATAAAAACCTGATGGGTTCTGACACTTGTCCATATAGGTCACAGGCCTGAACTCACAGAACGCAGTGTTCCAGAGCAGGACTGCACAATGACTTAATGTATTCCTGTTCTTATGTTCCACATCTGTGTATAAAAACAAAGGGACATTAAATCAGGTGGAAATTGCATCCAGTTTGCATTTGCTTCCAAGTTATCAGTGGAACTCTACGCCCCAGTTCCAGTTGGGGGAGGGGTTGACAAAGTCAATGGACAATTAGGTGACCTGAGGCAAAAACAAGGATGGGGTCGATGACAAAGTACATTGCGAATCATTATAAACATTTGCGCTGTGCTTATGTGTGATGTGATTCATTGGATTCACTCACGTCAGCATTCATTTACTGTGACTCAAAGTGATTGCCTCAATATGAAGATTTTACTCTGAGACTCTTAACACAACCTTCAGTCTGTCTGGTATTTGCTGTTTTCTGATAAGCTTCAGCCTGATGTATTGGTTGATCCTCCAATCCAATCGTTCTCTCGTTTAACTGAGAATTTAACAAAACAGATATCGCATGTTGACACAAATTATATTGTTAGTTATCATTGATTACTAATCTGTAATATAAGTGTGTTATTTGCTGTTTGATTAAAGCCTCATACAATGTCTGTGTTCAATTAAAACTGTTTTATTTTGATCGTGACACTATACATACACAAAAATCAGCAATTAGAACTGCAGCAAATAATCTATTCCATTTAAAAATCAGATCGAGTATTCTTATCTTCTCCAACAATATAAAAGCTGAGATACAAAGTACATTTTTGGCGTGCTATCAGAAACCCCATCTTATTTGGGAGTTCAAATTTAAAAAAAAAAAAAGTCCACGCTGCACATTATTTGTCTGATATTCTTTGAGGTCTGTTTTATTTTCTCTGTTGTTCCCATTTTGGTTTTATGCAATCTGACTGAATTCAAATTAGAGACTTTTTTTAATACCATCCAAAAGAAGCAAACTGTGTGCAAATAAGGTGGCACATCACTTTTTCTCATATATAATGTAGCATGTTGAATTTTTTGAGAGGTTCTTTTTCCTGGCATTTCAAAAATAGCCAGGCTCACTAGAGTTAATGTGGTTCGTCATATTCATGTATTGAAACATGCTTCATGCTTATTTGTTTGCTGAATACACGAATCTTCAAAACGGTCTGCCTTTCAATTTTTCGTTATTTCAGGATAGCGATGTCTGCATTTAGGGAAGCATTGCAAATTCTCGCACTTTGCCATCAGGTTACTCACAGAAATAAAGCTGAGTTGAGGTAAAATTATCAACCTCCAGATGGAAATTTACTCTGTTCCCCTCTCATTGATTATCCCTGCAAAGATCTAAAAAGCGACAGTTATACAGAGAATAAATATACTTTTATTATGGCCAAGGGACAACATTTACAATTGCAAGGACACAGAGTACGGTAAAACGACGATAAGCACGACAAAGATGAAACCTAAAATAAACTATTATGTACATTAGTCACTCAACTCGCTTCCATAATCGCATACAAAACCATTATCAATATTGACACACAGATTCTATAAAAGTTCAGTATTTTGCTGTGATGTGATTTTGATTTCTTATCACATTTTCAAGCCTTTTGTAATCATCCTTGATATCTGAGGCTGACACATCACAAGACTTGCGTTAGAATATTGTACCAAAGTACTTTATTAAGTTTCACCCTGGCTAATTTTAATAAGCATTTCAACTGCCTGAGGACTCTGTGCGCATGCACAGTACAAAGCAACGCATCCCCAAAACAATTTTGCTCCATCCTACAGGTATCCTGCACACACGGCCAACATGCTTTTATTGTTCCTAATCCAAAGTAGTTAGCATTGTGCGGCTAGGTTTGGGGGTATATTAAATCCCTCCAAATATTTTCTGTATTTTGTTTTGTATTCGTTACATTGGAATTCCATTTCTGACAAATAACAATAAATTCTTGTAAGAACAGACTGTCCAGAGTATCCCAAGTCACATAAGCCTTTTTCTTCAATGAGCATTTTAACACCAGCAACTCTGAACTATTTTTATAGTAGCTTATGGTATTGTTTCCAAGCAAATGGTCGAGGATGTTAAACATAAACTACAATCAGCTACGTTTGAATTACACCTTTGCATCTGTGTTATTGGTCCACTCCAACCAGTCAGCACAAAGCATTATTGCACAATACACTCACAAGAGACTGTAATACAGCACGCATGTGATCACTCAAAATAAAGAGAGAGAAGTGAAATGTGATTCTTAATCACAGTAGTATTCAATTTCAACATGAACATCTCTAAGTGATTACAAAAGCAAGAGGGTGTGCACACTTGGACAAGCACATTATTTCAGAGTGAGTGTGTTGTGCAGGTTAGTTTTAAAATGATATATCTTGGTCTCCTTTTTTTTTAATGTCACAAAATATCTGCCATTTGAACAGAGGTGCACGTGTGTGTGGGTGTCGACATTTTGTATCAAGTGTCTGTAAATCATGATTTGGCAAGTGACCTCTGACGGACATCATGTGTGTTTGCACACAGAAGTTAGCAATAGCTGAGACATGAAATAATTATATTTACACAAGAAGACCACAATAAGCATTATTCACATTAATGGCCCATTGAGGATGATAAATCAATATATATAGTTCTGAATCCAGCTATGTGAAGTCCTTGGAGACAGCCTCTATGAAGTTGGGCGCTGACATGAGGATGGTGAAGGTGCAAATGATGGAAAAGAGCGAGAAGGCCACCAGGCATAGACGGTCCACCACCGCTGCTGCAAACTTCCACTCACTGCTAATGGCCTCAGCCTCATCCTGATCCCGGAAGCGCTGGGCAATGTAGGTCACCTCCTCCAAGATGCGCTGAATCTCTGGTGGCGGGATCCTGACTCCCATACCTGCACCCATTCCCAAAACATTACTGCAAACACCGGGGGGCTCAGCCTCTTCACCGGGGGAGCCATGAGCGCGACCCCCCAGTGCTACACCAGAGTCACTGGAAGGAGGGCACTGTGGACTCTCCATTGGGTGGTAGCTGCCAAAATAGAGGCTCATTGAACCATTGGAGGTGCCCGAGGTGCACGGTGGACAGGAAGTTTGGGAGGGTGGAATAGAGAGGCTCGGAATGGCGCCCATTTCAATTGAGTTGGTGCTGGAATGGTGCTGGGTTGGATGCCGGAGCTTGTAGCCGGGACGCCTGCGCTCATCGCCAGGTTGCTTCATGCGCAGAAACCAAGCACACCAGTTCAACAGGACCACCCGAACCTGAACGTATATGAGGCACTCATAAATAATTGAGCTTACATTTTCACTCAGCAGATTTCCACATTTATTTTGTTCACACAACAACCTGTCATTATTATCGTACTTTAATGATCAAAGTGTTGTTACAATTTCAGTCCATTTTCACTGAGCAGCATCAGAATGGCTAAATGAAAATTACACCAATTCATAATTGACAAGGATTTTAATGTAAAATATCAACAGAAGACTTAGAGGGGAAAAGGTGACAAAAATGAACCATCACTGCATTTACTCTTCCCAGGGACACGTCCACTTGAACATTTAAAAACATGATATGAATTGATGGTCAACTACAGGATATCGCCCTTTCGGTCTTCGTCACGTATCCTCTCACTTTGTCTCTCTGTCTTTTCTTTTCTTTGCTATGTGACCCAACCAGTGGAGGTAGACGGCCACCGCACAGTCAGTCTTGTTCTGGCTTGCTCGGCTTTTCTTCCCATGAGTGATTATTTCCTTGCCTCTGTCGCCCCGTGCTAGCTTATGCGGGGTTCATTTGGGGTTTAGTTGGGCTTCAGTTGGGGTCCAGTGCTCAGTTAATCTCTTCATAAGTGAGTAGTGTGTTCTCTGACCTGCTCCATATGTAAAGTCCCCTGAGATAACAACTACTGTATTGTGATTTGGTGCTTATTTAAAAAAATAGATTTGAAAATACTGTACTTAATTCGGTTTGAAAACAACTATTTCCCAAATGTATCGCTATTCTGCATAAAATACAAAATACATACTGAAAATCAAGAAGGATCTTGTCAATTGCTATATCTGCTCACAAGGACCTTGGGTCAAAAAAAAAAGAGTTGTACCACTTACCCACTTAGGCATCTTGCCTCCCTGAGGGTCATGGTGATGAAACTGCAGGACTATCACAGTCACCACCACCGACATTCCTACTATCATCATGGTGCTGGCAAAGTACTGAGCTGGAAGACACACATCAAACATGATCAGCCTCAACGTGCTTCTTATGAATATTTTTAGTTTATCGGTTACATAAAGTGGCAGCTCGGTGGACTAGTGGCCACCACTGTCTCGCAGTTCTGAGGTCCGAGGTTCAAATCTTGGCTCTGGACTTTGTGTGTTGAGTTTCCATGTTCTTTCTGTGGCTGTGTGGGTTTTGTCAGAGGACTCTGGCTTCCTCTCATATTCCCAAAACATGTATGTTCGGTAAATTTAAGACCATCAACTGCACAGAGGTCAAAACATTCGGAAAACAAATGAAGGACGGGGCAGTGGTTCCTTCTCACAAGAACTAAATGTGAAAAGGATATCCTTTCTGGTGATTCAAGGCTAATGATAAGAGACATATTCTCTATGTAAGGCAGCTGAAAATAATTAACAGCCACATTCGCTCACAATCCGGTAAAGATGAATGAATCATTTTAATTATGAGGACAGGAGGGCTTGTCCTCGAGTCATTAAAAATAAATGTTTTATTCGGGTGGGTAGCCATTTATCTATACTGTATAAATACATCCATTCCATTATCCAAACCACTTATCCTCATGAGAGTGTGATGGAGCCTATCCCAGCTTTCTTTGAGCAGTAGGTTGTTCACTTTATAACTCTCAGACAGCGTCAATTACAGTGGAGAAAAAATATTGATTCCAGTAATACCATGAAATCTGTGGCTTGTATATTGGTGGGGCAGACACTGAATTTCCATCCAATTTGGTTGTTTTAACTAATATGCTGCAAAGAGTGGGAAGGCTATGCCAAGTGAACTGTCCTTGAAATTAATTGTTCTCTAGGTTACCATATCTAGAGGTCAAGAAGCATCGAATAACGCATTAATGCAGTTGTTAATACTGCTGGCAGAACCAATCCAAACGACGCGGTCATTAATATCGGTGTGTTGGCTGACAAAATCAATATTACAGTCACTTTGCTTTGCTATATCATAACAGTGTCCACACTCACCAACATAATTCCACTTTAGGATATGTCAGGTCCTCTTCCTGCGTCTGATTCTGTGTAGATATATTTTGTGTAGATATATGACACATAGAGGCACACAAAAATAGAACCCACCGATGAGAGGAACCGAGTCAGAGGTGGCCGGCATGATCTCAGCCACCAGAAGCATGAAGACAGTCAGCGAAAGCAGTACGGTGATTCCTTACGAAAAACAGTGACGGGCAGAACATTAGGAAAATGATTTGTCTGAGTGGAATCACTGGTGTGTGTAATTATTCCTGTAATTACTTCTGGATGTAATCAGTTATCATCTCCAAATCACAGTAATTTGTCAGGTGGAACAGACAAGGAAGCTTCTTAGCCCTCCAGAAATCTGTCAAATTCACGTTAACTGCATGTTGACTGCTCATTCACACGTGGATATCCATCAAAAACCAACTCCACTCAGAAATTAAATTATTCCGCGCAGTTTTACATGCATGTATTCATGACTCACTACATGATTTATGAGAATGTTTCCATGCACATATGCACACACAGTATTGCATGCTATGTGGTAAAAAGGTAGGCTGGAAAGATTCAATGCTGTCAGCATTCCTTCTTAAATAAAAAGGGGAAAAAAATTAGACCCACATTCCCATGTTGATTTGGGCAAAGATTGAAGTAAAACCTAATTTAAATGTCATAAATGTGCAGGATTCTTTAATAATTCTGCCTTTTCAGTGCCGTACATGCAAAGGCCCATCTGAATTGTCAATCAGTGTAAAGTTCCCAAGTTGGAATCTGTGACTGTATGGGGCGGTGTTAGTGCCCGTGGCATGGGGAACTTGTACATCTGTGAAGGCTCCATTGATGCTGAAACGAACATATAAGTTTGTGTTACACATTATGACGCACAAAATACCACAGCAGAGACTGTTGAGCAGCTCAAGTTATACATTAAGCAAGAACGGGAAAGAATTCCACCTCCAAAGCTTCACAATTAGTGTTCTCAGTTGCCAAACACTTATCAAATGTTTTTTAAAAGAAGAGATGCAATTAATCAGTGGTAAATGTGTTCCAGGCATCAAATCTAAAACAGTGAATATCACCGCCCCAAAAAACATTTGATTCTTAATTGATCGCACTTGTGCACCATCTCACCTAGAGAGATCTTTTCTCCTGAGTCAGCAGGCAGCAGGAAGACCAAGAGGGCCAAGCCAGAAATCAGCACGCAGGGAATGAGCAAATTGAGGCCGTAATAAAGCGTTCTGCGGCGCATGGTGACTGTGAAGGTCACGTCAGGGTAAGGCTCCTTGCAACAGTCGTAGTAGAGCTCATTGCGCTTGACTGGGACACCTGAGGGACACAGGGCAATGCAATTACAAAAAAAAAAAAAAAAACATGAACGCAATCATCCCATCTGTCGCCGTAAACAGCCATATGGGCAGAAGAAGGATGAATGGAGAGATGGGTCACACAATTTAGGAAATATAGCACATTGCCTGCATTGCAATAGCCTTCGTTTTGTATGTTAGTAGCAATGGCATGACATGAAACATTTTGGGATTCATCCTCATAGAAGATGTTTTTCTTTGAGATACTTCTGTCTGCTCTTACATAATACATGCCTGTCAATGTGTCAAACAATTGTATTCCTTGACACCTGTTCCCGTCCAACCCTGAGTTGCAATCTGCCAACACCTCCTCGGGGCTCCAACATGAGAAGTCACCCTCCCAGCTGAAAGGCTTCGCTTGGGTGGTGTTCCAAAACTGACTACTACACTCAATGGTTGTTTTCTCTTTGGCTCTGTTTGAGTCAGGATTTTCCCCCAAACATTTTCAGTTTAAAATCCAAATGATGGTCTATGGTTCATTCCCTGTGCTTGCTAAATAACCGACATCAATATACAGGTTCCAAATTAATTACTGGTTTAAGGAGTCAAGTGAAAGACAGCTATTCAGATAAATGTACCGGTACAAAGATGCTACTGTAATAGTTGATCTGAGATCAACTTTATCGCTGTTGTTTTTTCAGGATTGTCTTGCTGTCTTACTGCTGGACACTGGCACCTCGAGGGATGGGCAAGATACATGTATTCTTTTATTTTAACAATTCAGACAAGCTAATTTGCTGCCTAAAACAGTTCCCACTTAACTCTTGTTATTTTTTAAGTACTGTATGTAAACACAGCATATACAATACATCCACATGTCCGGATTTTCGGTACCTTCAAGGCAGAACCTTTCACTTGCTGGACAGGGGGACACAAGAGCCTAATTTCACTCTTTATAATCTGGTTTCCTTTCACAGTCCCAAAACATGCATTTTAGATGCAAAATCAATAGTGGACACAAACTTGATTGCGCACACAAACAGATGTGTTATTTACATGTGCAAAATGCACAGATTAATTTCGCACATGTAGTGTAATTTATCAAACCGCACAAGGCAAGTTTAAACAAAGCATAACTTTAGGCGCTTCTTTGGCTTCCACAAAATTATTGGCGAGATCCATTTATTTTTGTAAACTCATAAATATTTGTCTCTCTCTCTTCCACTAACACTTCTAATTCCATCACTTTAAACTTCAATTTCTGCTTCCAATGCTCTATGCTAATTTTCAATGGTGTAAATCATCACTAACCTGAAGCACATTTTTTTCTTTTAAATAAATCAGTCTCCACCACTTTTACCACCAAATGAATGTAAAATTATTGATTAAATGTATCTATCGTGAATCGTGATGAATTTATCCTCTTCCTCCAGCCAAATACAAAGCAACTTACCCACAAGATCCCACTCGCCATTGGGTATGTAGGTGGACGTGTCCACGTCAAGCATCTGGAGGTCCAGCAGCCAGCCATTGTGTGTCCAGGAGCCAAACTTCAAGTCACACTTCTGGACATCGAAGGGGAACCAACGCACATCAATGTAGCAAGTGCTCTTCAGGATGCCGGGCGGGATGTACTGGCAGTAACCCGACGCATTCACCAGAACGTTGGTGTGGAAGGTGGCATCAAAACGATCATCCGCACTAGAAAGAGAGTTACAATGGTTGCAGTGGATTCACTTGCCATCAAAGTCTTTTCACAGGGGAATGCCAAACTCAGACTATCCTGATGACTGTAGAGGCTTTGCCCAACATGAAGTAGTGTTCCCAAGCGAAAATACACATAATTACCAGAAAAAAAGAAATGTTGGGATGAGAAAGCCATTATGCCTGCTGGAGTGCCACTGGGGTTATGTTGTTGATTAATAGAATTAATAGAGAAGACTCATGCAATAAATGACTGAGTGACACTTTTGTGCTTTCTCAGACTTTAGATTACAGTGATAGTATGTATTTATTTATTTATTTTTTTGCCGTGAAGCAGCTGTTTAGCAAATCAAGTTGTGTTGTTTAACCATTTAAAAGTGTGTGTAGTGTAGGTTGCCCTGGGCAGCAATAGCTATACGGGCTCGTCAACGATGAAAACCTTTGACATGAGTGGCACAACGCACAACTGACAAACCTTTTCCCATACCTATCCAAATCTTAAAGACTCCCACCCACGATCAGCGGTTAACATGAGAGATAATTTGTGTGGACCCGGCTTGAATTTCATTCAAAACCCCGACAAAAGAAAGCATGACCTGCACCTTGGGAAAACATCTGGATGTATACCCTTTTATTTGATCCTGCCTCTCATCATCGTGTGTGTGTGTGTGTGTGTGTGTGTGTGTGTGTGTGTGTGTGTGTGTGTGTGTGTGTGTGTG